CCGTCAGCTTCACATTAAACCTGATGGATGCATCAGTGTTCAGTGTTCATACTATAAAGTAATATCTGTCTCTACGGAGCAGTGAGAGGGCAGATAACAAAAATAAATCAATAAAATAAAAGTGGAAATAAAAAGAAGAATAAATAAAATAAAAAATAAATACTGTGGCGATATAAAGCGATATTAATCAAAAATAAATCCATAAAAGAAAAGGCTGATAAAAGTAGAAATATAAAGACTAATAAATAAATAATCAAAATAATAATTTATTTGTTATTTTTTTTAATTTTTGTATTTCTTTATTGTTGTTATTATTATCATTTTAATTTATTTTTGAATTTTTTTAAAATTATCTTTTCATTTTTATTTTTTAATTTATTCATTAATATCGTCTGTTTAAAAAGGAAATATGCACAGAAAAATGTGCACAGTAGGAATGTTGTGCCTTTGCTTTTAAAGAGACATTATAAAAAAGAAATAATAATGAATACATTTTAAAAATTATATTGTTTTTAAGCAACAACGAGTGTATTTAACCAACCACATGTACTAACATTAATATTATTGTTATCACACTTCAGCAGGTGTGTTTGGGTTCAGCTGCCGTCTGTGAGTTTGTCGCCACCTGCTGGTCGTCAGCTGTCACTGCTTCAGACTTTACACTGAGTCATTTAGCTGAAGAGGAACCAGAAGACCAGGAGGGTTCTAGTCAACAGGAGACGATGATCAGATGTGAAGTGAGCAAACTTCAGAGAACCAAAGTGTTTGTTGAAGTTCTTTAAAAACCACCGAGAGCTTCTTGATCTGATGTTTGTTCAAACCTCTGATCTCTGTTTCATCAGCTCCCGTCACAGTTCACACGTTTCCCTGCAGCATAAAGTCCTGCAGCTCTACGGAAACACAAACATCATGACTAGAAGGAGAGAAACTCAGAAGGTCTCAGTGCAGGACGACTGTTAGGAGGTCATGAATCTTATAAATAGAAAAGTTGCCTGTTGGTGGCAGGATGTGATGCAAACAGCTTTGTTTGGAGACTTTTTAAATGAGACGTGCAGAATGAAGTGATTATTGATCAGATATCACAGTTATAAGGCTGTTTAAGCAAAAAAGAATAATAATAAAATAAAATAAGAAACTATAAAAACAGAAAGTAAAATAAATGATCAGCTTTCCTTCATTTCTTCTCTAGTGACTGATGCCCTGATAGCTGTTAGAAGGACATTCCTGGTTCTGTCTGCTTCTGGTCCTGGTTGTTCTGGTTCCATGGAGCTGCAGGACTTGATGACAAATGGACCCTCAGTGAGTTAAAAACGTGACCGGAGCAGTAAAAACAAGCTGTCGGGTCCAGTGTGTTTTATTCTGCTGTGTTTCTACCTCCAGCTTCACAGGAGGACGTGCTCCATGAGCCGGGCTCCCTGCAGGTCCGGACTCAGGACTCTGGTTCCGCTCTGGTCCAGCAGGACGGACAGCACGGCCCGGCTCAGGTCGGCCCGCCTCAGCTCAGAACACAGAGACGCCACGTGGACCCAGACGTCCACCGAGGAGCCGCTGTCCTCCAGGATCGCCTCGTCCAGAACCCCTGAGAGGACCGGAGAGGAGAATTGGTCAGTGTGAGTCTGTGGTCAGTTTGTGTCTTTTTGTGGTCAGTTTGTGTCATTGTCTAACATCTCTGCCACCTCTCTGTGTGTATTTTGGGGTGCGTCTGAGTCTTTGTCGTCTTGTGTGTGTCTCTGCAGTCCTTCTGTCTTTGTGATGCTGTTTTGTTTCTCTGGTGACACACACAACACCTGCTGCAGCGTCCTACCTCGTCCTCGGCTCATGAAACCGTCCAGCAGCTGCAGCGCCAACTGCTGCCGCTGAGGGTCGACCAGCAGAGCGGCGCAGGCCCCGCCCACCGACAACATGGCCGCCCGGCCCCGCCGAGGCTCCGTCAGCAGCTGGAGGAGGGAGAGGCTGGGCGAGCGACACAGGACCCACATACAGTCCTCTGGAGGAGAGAGAGAGTCACACACAGCATCAGTAGAGGTTATGAAGGTTTCACATCACAAACAAGAATCACCTCACAGAGCTGTTAGAGGGTTTGTGTGTCTCTGTGGCTGTATTGTGTGTATTTGTGGTCATTTTGTGTCTGTGTCCAGTCGCTTTGTGTCACTTTTTGTGTCTCTTTGTAGTCGTACTGTGTCAGTAAATGTTTTATTCATTGTGTGTCTCTTTCTGATCACTTTGTGTGTCTCTGTGGTCATTTTCTGTCTCTTAGTGGTTATTTTTTTGTCGTTTTGTGGTCAATTTGTGTGTTTTTGTAGTCGTTTTGTACCTCTGTAGTCGTTTTGGGTGTCTGCTGTCATTGTGTGTCTTTCTGTATTTGTTGTGTGTCTCTTTTTGGTCATCATTCATCACAATGGTACCACTTTTGTGTCTCTTTGTGGTTGTTTTATGTCTCTATCATCTTAATGAGCGCCTTTGTGTTTATTTGTTGAGTCTTTGTGGTCATGTTGTGAGTCTTTATAGTCTTTTTGTGTCTTTTGTAGTTGTGTCCTGTCTGTCCTCGTTGTGTCTTTGGTCATTTCATGTCTCTATGTAGTCGTTTTGTGGATATCTTTTGAGTCTTTGTGCTGATTTTGTGTCTTCCTGTAGCTGTGTTGTGTCTCGTTGTGTCTTGTTGTGTCTCATTGTGTTGCCACTACGATGTTTTAAACCCCCACACACACTCGGTGGACACAGCCGGACACACACTGACCCGCTGTGAGGTCCTCGCTGTGCTTCATGAACTCAGCGGCGCTGTGGACCAGGCCTCTCCTGCACATGCTCAGTGCGGACTTCCTGTCCAGCCTGCAGGCCTCGTAGACGACGGTGGCCAACGCCAGACACATGTCGGCCACGGCGGGGTTCTTCTGAGCGTGCTCAGTCAGGACGTCGCCCAGGTCCTCTGAGAAAGTGAGTCTGAGAGGACGGAGGGCGTGAAGACCACGAGCTGAGTCTCTCCAATCAATCAATGAATAATCGATCAATACTTTACTTGTTCTGGGTGACGGCGTGGACGACCAGCCTCAGGTCGCCGTGCTGCAGGGCACAGACGACGCCCTGCAGGGACAGAGCAGCCGACAGCTCGCCGCCGGTCTGGACGCTGATCAGCAGAGCCCTGAAGAACAGGAGGGGCGGAGGGGCGGAGCCTGGAGGGCCCGACACACCTGGCAGAGGAGGGGACAGGTGTGGACAGGTGAAGACGGACAGGTGAGGACAGACAGGTGAGGACAGACAGGTGTGTTGTTGTGTGTTGTTGTGTGTTGTCCACCTCTGAACATCTCCATGGTGTGGAGGTTCCTCAGGACTCCTGGAGGACTCCTGGCAGCGAGCAGAGCAGCTTCCTGGAACTGAGCCGAGTCAAAGAGCTCCATGAACCTGTCGGAGACGAGGATTCAGTACGACGGTAAAACTCTGACCAGAGGCTGTCTGTGAACACACCTGTCCAGGTGAGCCGCCAGGAGGCCGGACTCGTCCAATCCCGTCGGCTCGTCAAACAGCTCGGCATCGACGCTGTGAGCGTCATCGTCTGACTCTGCAGGAAGGAGAGGAAAATAAAATAAATCCTACAGGATAAAGAGCCCTGAAGGCAGCACAGACGTTATTACAGCTGAGTGGATGGAACAAGTGTCGCTGCAGTGAAACCAGAGGCAGCAAAGAATCAATATTGAGCACAAATCTGACCATTTTAATGAAACCAATACATGTAGTTTTGTTTCTTTCCCACCATATCAGACGTGTAATGTGTAATATCCCTTTAAATAGTTTGTCCTACATTTAACAATTTCCCTGAGGTTTTATACCGAAGGATCAATAAAGTTTTATTCTATTCTATTCTACATTAGTTTCATAATATTGGACCTTAAGTTCATGTGAGGTATTTCATAATCATGAGTAATATTACTTTATTACTTGAGTATCTTTGCCAGTATTACTATTTGCTTTTCTACGACAATAAGATCAGATTAAACTTTACTGAAGGAAATTCTGTTTAGCCTAAAAAGTACAGAACCAATAAGATTACGATACATTACTGAAATAAAATTAGTGAGCTACTATAAGACTGAAATAGAAAGTAAGAAGTAATGCTGGCAGTGACAGTGAGGTAATCAGTAAAATAAAATAGTGCATAATTTATCACATGAGAGCTGAACCAGTTTCTCACCGCTGGTCCGTCTGAGGTTCATGGAACCGATGAGTTCCTGCAGAGGAACCTGCTGTTGGACCTCCCAGCTGCTCAGATGGTCGCACACGTTCCTCAGACGCTCGTATCTGCAGACACACAATCAGCACGTCACCTTAAACCTGCACTGACACGTTGTAGTCCACCTGGGACATACGTTTAGATCATCTCCTCTAAAGTCTGAGAGTGACTTTGGTTTTTTTGTCTGTGTGTGTCTGATAGAAGCTGCTGTTTGCTGCTAAAAGCTCGACTGTGTTCAGCAGCTCAGAGGCTCAGTGAAGCTTTTACTTTGAAAAGCTGCAGCTGAANACAGCGTGAACGAGTCCTTCAGCACCAGGAGGACGAGGGAGGTTTGCTAGAAGCCGACAGAAAGCCAGAGAAGCTGCGTCATGCTGGAGCAGCATCACTGCAGAGATCGATACGCTGCGACGAGCCCACAGTTGTGACTCAGCAGCAGATCTTTGCATCTCCTCGGTTCTGCTGATCCGATTCCCTCCTAAACCCAGAAGCTCCTCCTCCGGGCTTCTGCCTGCGAGACGCTGAGAGATCGAAACGAGCCAAGTCCACCGCCTGGAGGCGCGTCGGGCGTCCAGATCTGCTGCATGCTGCACAAACCTGAGCGTGTGATCGCAGCGTATGAGGCGTCAGGGGGAGCAGAGAGGATTGTGGGTAAACGGCGGAGCCCCGTGGCTGCAGGCTCTGTTTATAGACTGGTGGGAGAGTGTTTGTTCAGCGTGTGAGGCTTCATTCACTGTGATGTGGTTCAGATGGAGGCCTCGGTCGGCCACACAAAGCCTCCTCTGTCCCAGTGTGTGTGCTGCCGGGTTAGTGGGAGCTGTGAGGACCGGCCGCTATGAGGACACCTGGAGCGCTCAGATCAAGTTAAAGGGGGACCAGTTCATCCTGCAGGGACTCAGACAGACCAGAACTGTGCCTCCTCTGGCTGATGATCTCCACACGGTGCTGACGACACACAGCCGCTGACACAGAACCAGCTTCTAGAAGATCCAAGAAGAGGAGCTACGAGAGGAGACGCCGTGAATCCTCCTGTTTCCCAGATTACAGCAGAACACAGGAACTACATGAAGGTCCCGTATTGTAGTCGATTAATCAAAGTCTCACATGTTTCCAGGACGTGTTATTCAGCTCCAAACAGCCCAAACAGCTGATTCCACCAGGACTGCAGAACTCCTTCCACTCGACCACAGTTATGATTAAACATCACATTCAGTGTTTCACTTCCAACTAAGACATGATTTTCCTCTGACCTGCTCTCATGATTCTGTATTTCATTAAAATAAATCAAACATTAGAGAAAAATAAAAATAAAAACAGGTTTGTGCATCAGAACTTTCTTGTTCCTCCTTAATCATCACAACCCGTCAGCTTCACATTAAACCTGATGGATGCATCAGTGTTCAGTGTTCATACTATAAAGTAATATCTGTCTCTACGGAGCAGTGAGAGGGCAGATTACAAAAATAAATCAATAAAATAAAAGTGGAAATAAAAAGAAGAATAAATAAAATAAAAAATAAATACTGTGGTGATATAAAGCGATATTAATTAAAAATAAATCCATTAAAGAAAAGGCTGATAAAAGTAGAAATATAAAGACTAATAAATAAATAATCAAAATAATAATTTATTTGTTATTTTTTTTAATTTTTGTATTTCTTTATTGTTGTTATTATTATCATTTTAATTTATTTTTGAATTTTTTTAAAATTATCTTTTCATTTTTATTTTTTAATTTATTCATTAATAACGTCGGTTTAAAAAGGAAATATGCACAGAAAAATGTGCACAGTAGGAATGTTGTGCCTTTGCTTTTAAAGAGACATTATAAAAAAGAAATAATAATGAATACATTTTTAAAATGATATTGTTTTTAAGCAACGAGTGTATATAACCAACCACATGTATTAATATTAATATTAAAATTAATATTATTGTTATCACACTTCAGCAGGTGTGTTTGGGTTCAGCTGCCGTCTGTGAGTTTGTCGCCACCTGCTGGTCGTCAGCTGTCACTGCTTCAGACTTTACACTGAGTCACTTAGCTGAAGAGGAACCAGAAGACCAGGAGGGTTCTAGTCAACAGGAGACGATGATCAGATGTGAAGTGAGCAAACTTCAGAGAACCAAAGTGTTTGTTGAAGTTCTTTAAAAACCACCGAGAGCTTCTTGATCTGATGTTTGTTCAAACCTCTGATCTCTGTTT